GCACTCTACCCAGGGGGACAGCTTGAGGCTCTGTCTCAAAAAAAAAAAAAAGATCAAATGTTGAGGTATATTGACCAAAATATTAATATAAATTTAGGAAAATGCAATTTTATATTTAAAAAAATATATATATATATATTGAGACAGAGTCTCACTCTGTTGCCATCAGTAGAGTACCATGCCATCATCATAGCTGACAGCAACTTCAAACTTTTTTTGAGACACAGTCTCACTTTATTGCCCTCAGTAGAGTGCTGTGGCGTCACAGCTCACAGCAACCTTCAACTCCTGGGCTTAGGCAATTCTCTTGCCTCAGCCTCCCAAGTATCTGGAACCACAGGCGCCCGCCACAAGGCCTGGCTATTTTTTGTTGCAGTTTGGCCAGGGCCAGGTTTGAACCCACCACCCTCGGCATAAGGGTGCCTGAGCCACAGGCACTGCCCAACTTCAAACTCTTAGGTTTAAGCAATACTCCTGCCTCAGCCTCCCGAGGAGCTGGGACAACAGGTGCCCACCATGGCACTCAGCTTATTTTTTATTTTTAGCAGAGATTGGGTCTCGCTCTTGCTCAGGCTGGTTTTGAATTCCTAAGCTCAAAGGATCCTCCTGGTGTGGCCTCCCAGAGTGGTGGGATCACCGGTGTGAGCCACGCACCAGCCAAAGCAAAGCTATACCTGTTATCAGACTATAACTGTACGTTGCTTTTGAGTTCTTGCTAATCTAACTGTAGGTGCTAAATTTTCAAGGTTCCTCTGATCCAACTTCCTTCTATAAAATTACAAAACGGGAACCACTCTATTCCTCAAGCTAAAACTAGATGATTTCTAAGGAACAAATCTTATGCTTGATGTATAGGCACCAAACTGCCTGAAGCTATGTGGATCTATAACCAGAGACTTCAAACAGCAAATCAGGACAAGCTTTCCATGCCGTAAACAGCTTTTCCTAAAGTATCAGAACAAGACTCCCTATCGCAGTGATTCTACCTTTTCCTTTATTTCTTTTTGTAATAGGAGGTCTCACTATGTTGCCCAGGCTGATGTCTAACTCCTGGGCTCAAGCAATCCTCTGGCTTCATCCTCCCGAGTAGCTGGGATTATAAGTATCCTGGGACAATGGTGTAATTAATATTTCACAGTTAGGGCTGGGTGCAGTGGCTCATGCCTGTAATCCCAGCACTTGGGAGGCAGAGGGGGGTGGATCGCCTAAGCTCAGGAGTTTGAGGTTGCTGTGAACCAGGGGTCCTCAAACTTTTTAAACAGGGGGCTAGTTCACTATCCCTCAGACTGTTGGAGGGCTGGACTGCGGACCCCGGGGACGAATTGGCTGCTAAGCAGGATAGGCAGTGGCGGCAAAAACACCCGGCGGGCTGGATAAATGTCCTAGGCAGGCCGCAGTTTGAGGATGCCTGCTTTGAACTGAGGATGCCACAATACTCTAGTGAGACTCTGTCTCAACAACAACAAAAAAAGTACTTGTGGTCCCTTCTGTAAAGCTAGTATTCTGTTTCATTTATTTACTTACTTCAGACAGGGTCTTGCTCTATTACCCAGGTTGGAGTTTAACGGCACAGTCTCACTGTAGCCGTGTAACTCTTGGGTTCAAATAATTCTCCTGCCTCAGCCTCTTGAGTACCTGGGACTACAGGTGAGCACCACTACATCTGGCCAATTTTTTTATTTTTAGAGAGATGGGTTCTCACTATGTTGCCCAGGCTAGTCCTGAACACCTGATCTGAAGTGATCCTACTCCCTTAGTCTCATAAAGTGCTGGGATTACAGGTGTGAGCTGCTGTACCCGGCCAATGTTCTTTGCTTTAATTCACCCTCCTCATAAAGTGCAGCTTAGTGGTTATAAGTCTGACAAGGTATGCCTGGACTTTTTGATGTACTTTTTCTCTGCTCTGTGAGGGTTTCTCCACACACACCAAGCAAGAATTCACAACCATTCAATTCTGATGCTATCTACCTGAAGACAGCATCACATCCCACAAGTTGAGGGCTCAGTTCCACAAGACCACTCCCCAACCCTCACCTCCTACCACTTGTTAACTTCTGACCAAACAACTTCAAGCTGGGGTTCCCAACTTGAATGAATCTTTGGGTTTGCTTAATCTTCTAGAGTGGCTCACAGAACTCAAGGGACACTTAAGTTTACCAGTTTATTACAAAGGATATGAATGAAGAGGTGCATGGGGCAAGACACAGGAAAGGGCATGGAGGTGCCATCCCTGCCAAGCTACCCTCTGGGAGGGAGATATCACTGGACAACCGTGTGGACACATGATTGCACACGAGGGTGTGACCTAGCCCTGATGGGCTGAGTGGGGGCACTCAGCAAGCTCTGTCGGGGCAGCATTCTTTCTCCTGGGTGTGGG